ACGCACATGTCATGCGAAGCAATGCTGTACATATGCATTCAAGGAGGGGCTTTCCTGTCTTTCACCCCGCCTCGAAACATTCCTGCACTTTCTGGCAGGGATGTTTCGCTCATCGACCCAAAAGTGCTCAGCCTCTTTCTCAAAGCCCGGTGATCTCCCTAAAACAAATCTGACAGGGGGCATACTGGCGTACACCCTCATGGTTCCTAATGGCCTGGCACTCAGACAGTAGGGCTGCAACCGTGTCTGGGTCGGCTTCGGCTGGTTTCCAGTTACCCTGGCAGATCTCGAGTCCAGATTGGCTGAGTGGCATGATCTTGGCCGGCGGCCAGAGACCGCCGGGCTTAATTTCGTCAAAGACACCCGTGTGGACTCCTTCATGCAGCATAGAAGGCAATGTGCTATCTGGGTCTTCTGTGGCTGAGGCTAACTAACGCCGCCATCAGATTGAGGCGGAAGGGCTGGCCTGGGCTGATAGCTTCCATCCTTGCAGTATCAAGATCGAGGGCTTGGCACAGGTGCTGTATTGCTTGGCTTTGTTCTTCTTGGGACAGCGGGTGTCCGGGGCGGCTCTGGCTTACGTGACTGAAGACCCGTTTAGGCAAGTCCGAGGCTGCTCCCCACCTCAAGAGTGCCGCTGCAGCCTGGGAAAGGCCGGAGCGCGAAGGCAGGCTGTGGTCGGCTGAACTTACGGATCCTGCTCCGTCGCAGATAGGAGGCCTGGTTGCTACGAAGGGCTTGTCCCTATTCAGCAGGGAGTCCAAGGAACTGCACTTTTCTTGAGTAGTGCTAACGGATATGCAAGATAGTCTGCCGGCTATCTCAAGGGCTGCGAGGCTATCATCTCGTACGGGCCAGGTTGGCAGGGTGCAGGATGCCAGGAAAATGTTCTCTCCATCGGGGCATGGGCAGAGATGAAGGCCTGAGTCCTGTAGGGTAGAGACAAAGGCTTCAGAGGCCCAGAGGAAATGCTTCTTGTCCAGAAGCAGGAAGACCGAAGTTCCCGAGGCTCGGGCAGCCTGAATAATGCTGGAGGCCCCCTCCGCACACGAGGCAAATGTGTCCAGGCATCCTACTAGGGCCGCAACTGATCTGCACCAGAGGCATTGTAGGAGGTCCTCCTGGCTGGCCTCATCCATGGACGAGGGGAGAGTTATGTATGCACACTGCAACTTGTCCACGTGGTCTACGCAGCTGGAAGATATAGGGCTGTCCCTTGCGAGTATAAAGACCTTAGGCTCTCGGAGAAGTCGGTCTTGCCTGGCTTTCTTATAGGCTGGTGCAATCCAGACTCGATTGGCGAACCGTCTGGATGAGCGTGGGCCCGTTCCTTGTCGAGGCTCGAGAGCAGAGGCTCCTCGGGGTTCCGCGCTGTCTGAGGCTTCTTGGGGCCTCTCGAGGCCTGAGGCAGGTTCCGGCATCTTTTCCTCGTGGCAGGGGGTTTGGTCACAGGTGACCGGCTGTGGAGATGGGCAGCGGGCTTTGGGGTCTCTATTTGGCTTGGAGGGGCCAAATCCTGTGCACCTAGTCACGAAGGCTTGCCGTCGTGGTGGATGGCGCAGTGCTCTTTGCCACATCCTCGCACGGCGCACAGATGGGCGAATTTGCAATTGGGAGGCTACATGCATTGTGCTGGTAGCGCTTGCATAGGACTTTTCCATGAGCCTTGACCACCCAATTGGCTGGCCAGTCTTCGGCTTTAGGCGATTTGCTGAGGCCCTTGCCCCCACGACCGCGGCCTCTGGGATTTCTAGGCGCATTAAATGGCAGGCCTCGAGAGCGCTTGCCAGGCGGTGGAGTGGGGGTATTTGGCCTGTCCGTGCGCTTAGGCGGAGTGGGGGGTAGGCTGGGCTTAGGGCGTGGCTGCAGCATGTTGCTAAGGTCACTACGAATAGCCGTGACCTCGTAGAAGGCTTCATCTAGGCTCCAGCCCGAAGCGACTAAGTTGGCAATGGTCCCCCAAATCTTCCTATCGGCTGCCAGGAGCTCTTGAGTCGTAGGTCCTCGGAGGCTTGTGTCGGACAGGTCTGGTAAAGCTAGGTCTAGGACCTTTTTGTCAAAGGCTTTTAAGTTATTGAGGTGGGCTGCACCGCAGAGGGCCCAAGCATTGCGAAAGACGGTCTGAATGCGCGAGAGCCAAGAGGCTGATAGTCTGAGGTGGGCTACCGCCATTTCTGGCGTGTC